AGAAATCCACTTCTTAAGACAGAGTAAGACAGAAAGAGAATGCATGAGACTCAGAGGACTCATCATAAGAGAGAAAGAGCATTGTGTGTAAAAAGGCAAGTAACTCTGGGTTGCAGTATCAATGGTATGAATTTCTAAGAGGAGAAAGTGGCAGGATAGGCAGAGGCCAGGCCATAGGGAGCTTTGTCAATCACAGGTAGGATTCTAGACTTACACTAAGGACTGATAGATAGAACCATAGGAGACTTTTTCTTAGTTATGATCTGCTACTTCAGAAAGATCCTTCTCAAAGATACAAGCTTTAAGTTCAGTTCAGGCTTGTGTTTAAAAAATTAATTTCTCAAAGTAATGGCACATGGGGTGTGTATCATACAGTAAACATCTGAGAAAAACGATTGAAGGATTCTCCCCCTGAAAAAATAAAAGGAGAAACCTTTATGCCAGGGACGACAATCTAGAAATGCTTCCCTTTATCTGTTGTCAAAAACTAGAAGCCAAATATGCTGCTGATATTAAGCACACATCTCAGCCACTGTGGAATCAATGGTCTAACGAAATGGAGACCTCAGAAAAGTTTAGTGGGGGTGGGTACTAATTCATCCCATTTCAGAATCTGTAACAAGTAGCTGCTCTCAAATGTCTCAAAATGAGCTATTCAGGACAAGGGCAGTCCCGTGACATACATAAACTATAACATTAATTATGAGTTTTCTAAAATTTCAGGAGAAATATTGAAAACTCTACAGAGAAAAATCTACCTAACGTGGGAGGGAATGGAGAGCATTATGATAAGCGAACTAACTCAGTTTCATAAAGACAAAAACTGTGTAAGAATACTAGGATCCGGGGAGCTCTGGTGGCCTAGTGGCAAGGAGCTGCAACTACAATCCCAGAGGCTCACGGTTCGAATCCACCAGATGCTCTGCCGGGGAAGGAGGGACAATCTCCTCCTGTACCAGTCAGATCTGATTTGACGGTACATGCACACAAAAATTTAAAAAAAAAAAAAAAAGAATACTAGGATCCAAGGGGGTTGGGGGGGAGCCAAGGCGTGAGGACGGCCAGGGGGTGAGGAGTGTTTAATCATAGTGGTGCACGATTGATGGGAGGAGGGAGGCGTGGGTAAAGGGAAAGATCCACTATGAAAAAAAAAATGTATATAAACATTGTAAGTAAACAGTACCCCCCCCAAAAAAGCCTCCCCGATCAGAAATAAATAAACAAAGCCTTTCAACATGATGTTTGAAAATAAAAATGAAGGTGTCAGTATACAGCATGTTTCACGGACATGGGGCAGGGGGGAATTGAAAATAGGTACAGGAAAGAAAAATTACTTACGAGGCTGTTGGCTAAAACTTCAAAAGCACTACATTATCTAGAACAAAATATGAAAGAGGATAGGGAAACAAGATTATTTCTCAAACAATAGGTTTATATTGTTCATATTTTTTTAATTGTTGCCCATGAGTGCTGCCTACTATTCCCTATGCTGAGTGAACTAGCTCAGTCTCATAAGGACAAATACTACATAAGATCATTATTGTAAAAACAGAAGGACAATTAGTAAGATGTATATACAAGTCCAAAAGGGGAAGGAGAGGGAGCAATGGGCCTGAAAGTGGGAAGAGTGGAAAAATCACGGGGTTCCACAGAGTGGTGGGTGATAAAAGGGAGTGCAGGAATTAGGAATGATCCAGTGGGGACCTGAAAAGATGAGGTAATAGTAGGCATAGATCAATGGTGATTAATTTCATAAAACACAATGTATGGGAATGATAGGAAAGTGTGAATGAAGGAATGTGTGAAAGACAGTGTATATTAATGAAACACAATGTATATAAATTTTGTATGCAAAACAAAATAACTTTTTTTTAAAAAAAGTAGCAGTGTCCTAGAAAATAATGATAGCAAATAACTAGTCTTTATCTTCTCAGAAGTATTCTAGTCAAATAATATTTTTTTATTATATTAAGCAACAGCTTTTTAATACATTCCCTACTACGACTTATTATTTCTAGGAGTAACAAAGGCGCTTTGGTGAATTAGTAGAGAAGGAGTTGTACTGCCAAGCCTGTGCAACTGGTCATATATAGGCAGGCAGTTTGAATCCACCAGATGCACCTCGTAAGAAAGACAGGCAATTGCTCATGCCGTTTACAGCCTCTGAAATCTGTTGGAGGGTCAACTATGAGTTGGTTCTGACGCAATGATTCACAGCAGCAGCAGTAGCAGCCACAGGAGTAACAAGCGACTGCAATCTAATCTAGAACAGGAAAAGCAAACAGTCTCTTTACACATGGTCCTCCATGCTCATTCCTTATTAAAAGCTGTGCCAATTCCTAGCGGAGGCATCTATTCACTGCATTTAACAAGTCAATAAAGTTCATAAATAATAATTTATATCCTATAGAAATCACTACGTATTGGCCTGTACCCATGGAAATAAACCAAACTGGACTGACTAGTTCATCATAACTATATGTGAAGATTTCACTGGCAAAAAAGGTAGTGAAAGAAAAGCACTGAGAGACATTAATATTCAATTTAAGCTCAGAAGAAAGTGATCACTTCTGTATCCAAATTCTCAATGCACTTTACCTGGACTTCTCCAAAGGCACTAAACACTCGATCAGATCTGCTCTTGACACCAACTTTTGGTGTAAGTCACCTTCCTTTTTTCTCAATCTCAGTGTTATCACTTGTAAATGAGAGGCTTGTACCAGGTGGTTTTCTTTTCTCCCTTATATGTGCATGTGCACGCGTGTGTACATGTCTGCCTTTCTTGCCTGTACCTCTTAAGCACCTCTCTATGTCTCCCTGTGTCCTTAGGGATACTGTGTGAGAGTCTAGTCTCAGAGACATTTGGTTTGTGTTTCAAATCAAAGTTTTAACTCCATGTTAAAGTCTTAACAAGAGTCTCGAAATCATGCTGCATTTTTGGCAATTCCTTTAACCATGGTGTTGACTTGGCCATGTACCCAAAGTATGATATTCCTTTTCTCTAAGGTCTGACTGGTGCAAGATATCCAATCAATTCCCAAAGGATCTTTGTCTTTACAGACCAAAATCATTAGATGGGAAGAGTCTTGAGACACAGTATTACCTAAATTTTGACAATAGTTCTCCAGAAACAGATATAACTGAAGAAGCACTTTTACTCATAGGTTACTATACAAGCCTGTTTTGTCTCTGTCCTGGGACAGCCCTGTAATAAACTGAATGGCATGTGCCTATGATCAATCAAGGAGTCCTACTCATGCATTATGACCTGCTGCTGCGGAGTCTTGTTTCTCGATACCCTGCAATTAACTCCTCTGATGTTCTTTCAGCCCATTATTAATTTTGTACCCATTAATATCTGCTCCAACAATATATTAATGTATTTTTTTCAAGTTGGTGGAACAGCCACTTTCACACTATCTCTCCCCCATCATTACACACCATTTGCTTTTATTTAATCAGATTCCAAGATGTTGCTCTTAGGTAATTTCAGAAGTCACTTCCACTTCTAACATTCCATCGCTTCTTAATTACAGTCAGAAGAGCACCTATAGCTGTGAAAAGCCTGTGATTTGCCTCTGGAGTCCCCACACTGTCTCGAAAAGCCCAGTGAACTTCCCTACACAATTATGCAACATACACATTCAGGGACAAGGAAATCGTCACCTGAAATTCTTACTCACTTTGCTCCTCGCTGAAGTCTCTCCCAACCCAACCATGATTTTACTTAACCAAAATGGCTCTCTTGAAGCCCATTCTTACACAGCTCTCACAGGACTTTAAGGAACTAGACAAATCACTTATGACTTGGAAGAGATGCACTCTCAGATGTACCAAAGTAAAGGAAGTTCCAAGGAAAAAAAGGTCCTATTCCACAACTCAAATAAGTCTAACACGTTTCGATTATCCTAGGTATATTCTGTGAGTGGAGTGGTGGGAATGAATGTGTTTTGAGACAGCGAGGTTGGCACAGGATAGAATGGCATTTAGGGTTCTTGTACCCATTTAGGCCAAACGACTCGATGGCACATAACAACAACAACATCCTAGAAATGTATACCGGATATTGTGGGGTGAGAAAAGTGGAGGGCTTCAGGGTGGTGTTATTTAAGGAAAGGCAAACAAAGCATTTCTTTCACCTTTCCAGGAAAAACTAGCAAACAAGCACCACTGTTCATAAGATATTTAGCGTTATGTGTTAAAATCCAGAATGTCTGAATTCAAAACATAGCTCTGTTAATTACTAATTTATAACCTTGAGGAAGAGAGCTCCAGTGGCCCAGTGGTAAAGAGTTGTACTTCCAACCCAAAGGCAGGCAGTTCAAATCCACCAGTTTCTCCTTAAGAGAAAGACAGGCAATCTTCTGCTATGCATTTTACAACTTTTGAAAAGCCACTGGAAGGTTCTGAGTCACTTCCAACTTGAGGGCACATAAAAAAGTAACAATTGTGAAGAAGTTAAGTATTCTTCTGAGACTCAGTTTCCTGATCTTTAAAGTGGGGACAGCAATAGCACCTTGTTCACAGGATAGCTGCGATAATATACATAAAATCTTTAAAACTGGGCCTGGCATAGGAGAAGCACTTAGTCTCATTACTATTAGAGAGAGTTGTGGGGGAAGAAAACAAAAAAAAAGTACACTGCTTTTATAGACTCAAATTCTGAAGTTTATTTCTCTTGGTAAAAAATTCAAGGGATTCTATTAGCAATTTCAAAAAGCCCTGGTGGCGCAGTGGTTATGTGCTCAGCTGCTAGGTAAAATGTGGTGATGCAAATCCACCGGCCATGCTCAGTGAAACATTATAGCTGGGAAACGCCATGAAGCCAATCTACTCTCTTAGAGCGCTGCTATGTAAGTTGGAACCCCTCTGACAGCAGTGTATTTTTTTTTCTCATCAGCAAATTGAGAGAGTTCTGGTGGTGCAGTGAGCTCAGCTGTTAAGTGAAAGCTCAATCGTTCAAACTTACCAGCTGATCAGATACTAAGCAGGAAACAGACTTAGGAGTCTACTTCCTCAAAGATTTACATCCTTGGAAACAATACAGGACAGTTCTACTTTGTTCAGGGTCACTGTAAGTCAGACTGGAACTGATGGCAGTGAGGTTTCTGATCAGCAATTTAAGGAGCCCTAGAAGTCAGCGCTAAGAGCTCCGAGATTCAAGCCCAACACTACTGCACAGGAAAGAGAAAACAATCTTCTTACGTAAACGACGGCCAGCTTTGGAAACGCAATGGAGCAATGCTAGACGATCCTTCAGGGATACATTAGGAGTCAGAATCAACGGGTCAGCAATGGGTTTGTTTTGCTGTCCTGATTTTTGTTTTTAAATTTATTATTAATAATTTACATTTGTATATTTTATCAAACTGAATATTTTATTTTCTCAGTCTTAACTATTCCTAACCAGAGAGACTATTCACTAAAAAATTAAATTTTTTCCTAAAAGATATTCTGGGTTTCAAAACTGACTTGATCCCCCATGCTCTGGGAGAACAACAGGACCATTAACCTGGAGGGTAGACGGTGGACAGGCACACAAAGCCTCCTTTGTAGCACACTGGGCTATCACGTACCACCGCTTAGGTTTCTGAGAGGTGCCTTACCAAAGAAACTAACAAATTCCTTTGTTCCATTAAATTGGAGTTCTTGGATGTGAGAGTTCTTAATTCCCTGGCAAGACCTAATTAAAGATCAGAGGAACAGCATCCAATGCCTTCAAGTGATTTTCTTAGGTCATCACCAATTACTTAAGATGCCAAGGATACTGGTGAGATTCCCAAACACTAGCTCATTCCTTGTTTAGAGCTCAAGATACAAAGCAAAGTTTAAAATACCAGTAGCTACACACTGAGAAAATTACTGAGCCAAGAAAATGATAAGAACTTTAAAAAGGTCATGAGATTTGTCTTAAGTTCTTACTAAAAATTTTAAGTCATTTTAACAAACAAACATAAAACACTGAACAACAACAAAAACCAACAACTACCAATTAAACTGGACCAATCGGTAGCATCAGGATGGATGGCGAAGAGATTGAGATTGTTCACAGCTTCGGTTTGCTCGGCTCCACGGTCAACACTCTTGGCACCAATAGCCAGGAAATCAAAAAACGTATTGCAATGGGAAAGACTGCAGTTAGGGACCTCTCCAAAATACTCAAGAGCAACAGTGTCTCTCTGGAGACTAAGGTCCGCCTGATACAGGCCATGGTTTTTGCAATCACTTGTTATGCATCAGAGAGTTGGACAATGACTAGGGAGGATAGAAGGAGAATTGACGCCTTTGAGCTGTGGTGCTGGAGAAGAGTATCGAATGTACCATGGACTGCCAAGAAAACAAACAGATTCATCGTAGAGAGGATTAAACCAGGCTGCTCCTTGGAGGCAAGGATTCTGGGGCTTCGCCTGACATACTTTGGACATGTTGTAAGGAGAGACAGGTCTTTAGAGAGGGACATCATGCTGGGTAGAGTAGAGGGACAGCGCAGGAGGGGAAGACCCTCTATGAGGTGGATTGATTCAGTGACTGGGGTACTCGGGATGGGTGTGTCAGAGGCAATGAGATTGGCAAAGGATAGAGCACGGTTTAGGGCTGTTGTACATAGGGTCGCTATGAGTCGCAAACAATTCGACGACACATAACAACAACAACAACCAATTAAACAAGTAGAAAACACAAAAACTCAATGCTCTCAAAACAGAACTGACTCACAGTTGACCCTCCAGTGGCTTTCTGAAGATTTAAATTGCACAGAAAGAGACTGTCGATCTTCATGCCCTCAGAGTGGCTGTTGGATTCGCACTGTCAGACAGACACCACCTTTGAGCTGGCAGTGTAACTTCCCACAGACCAGAGTACCACAAAGCTAGCAGAAAAGCCATTCGCTATAATGTGTCAGTTCTGACTTACTGTGATCCTATCAGATAGAGTGGAATTTTCCCCATCGGGTTTCCAAGACTATGATCTTGACAGAGGCCATCTGCCACCACCTTCTCCTGTGAAGTAGCTGAGGGTTCAAATGGCCGGTCAAGGTTTCAGTCAACAGTTCAATGCTTTATCCACTGTGCCTGCCTTATTGTTTTCCCCAACACAAGCAGAAAAGCTAAAAAAGGCCCTAAAGAACTAATACTATCCATGCCTCAGATTCTTTTGTCAAATAATCAGGGAATAATCACTGTTTCACAATTGTCATGCTGTCTCAAATATGTTAGTTCTATTCTGAAAAAAAAAAACACCACACTGGAACCCTGCCGTTGTGTGCCGCCGAATCAAGTCTAATTCATTGACATCTCATTGGACAGGCAGTTTCTACACATGAATTGAATAACAGAGGAAGGAGAGTTTAAATGGGCCATTAAAGGATAAATTTATCACTTGTGCCTCTCATCCTAATTCCTAGGGGACCAGATTTAGAAAATACAGAAATATGTTCACCACAGAAACCTTAGTAGGTCTAAAACCATTGAACTAAGTGAGGGGCTAGAGTTTAATAAAAATGGAGAACTGTTTACAAAACCCACCACAGATCTTCTGGCGAGAAAGGGCAGTTAGTGAAAACTACAAATCCAAGAACAAATCCGTTATTTGACAAATCACTCCCAAAAAGACCATGATGTCAACTATAATAAGGTATTTAGGAAAGATTGGAAATATGCACCTGTGGGAACTTGAAAGCTTTGACAGATTTTTGTTCTTCTAGCCCTTCGTCGGGAAGTTAATTATAGCAACTGTAACATCTACTACGAGCTTAGAGAAAGGCTGTTAGCTGTATGAAACCAAAGTACTGCTCTCCTGGGTACAGGTGAGACAGAATGACAGTCGTGCTTACAGGTAAAAATATTTCTTGTCCGAGTACAGTATCACAATGAGCCAGTGAGCACAGCTAGCCGAGGAAGAGGTATGTTCTATGGATGTATGAAGGTACCAAGGCTACGAAGGACACCTGACACATTTAGACTTACACACCCACACACACCCAGAGTCTCAACTCTGTTCATATTACAGCCAGAGCTGCCTCCTCCCTGATGAAAACTGTACCTTCACAATTATAATTGTATACAGCAACTGACGACCTCTCCACCAGATTCTCGTCATGATGCCAGCTCACCGCCATCTTCCCCATCCCAAAATAAGGTTCCTCTTTCAGGTATGACATTTTCTGGGGATCCATGAAATTCAACAAAGTCACGTTGTATGCTGCTCTGCTTTTAATGTCCACTTCATCTTGACCATCAAAAGACGTCTCAATACCAAGTCTAGGGAAATCTGGAGCGATATACACTGGTAAGGCCTCATCGTTAGATTTCTCTTTGGCAGCAAGTTCTTCCAAAGCCTGGATGGTCTCAATCTGCAGATAGTCATTGAGCTTGAGGAAGGCTTGACAAGCAGTACCTATTTCATCCTCAGTATATTTTATGGTGGAACCCTTCACTGGCCAGGGCACCGTGAAGAGTCTGGTGTTGAGGTACTTGTAGGTACAGCCTGGATTACCAATGAGGATACGAGATACTGGAGTGAGCACATCTTTGCCTTGGACCCTTACCAGGTCTCGAAACAAGCAGCCATGCTTGCGCAATATGAGAAAAGCTTCTTGAACTTCTTTATGCAGCTCCTTGGGGACACTGTCAGCTTGTCGAAGAACAAGTTTAGGGTATTTCAGCTGCCACTAAAAACAAAACAAAACAAAACAGAGCAAAAATACACACTCATGAATAAAAACCATTTTATTCTTTCTAAAGGTATGTTTCTGTATAAGTATGTTAAGGAAAAAGAAAAACCAACAACTGTAAGGTGGCATTTTCAAATGGCATTTGTATCGCCCTAGTCCCCAAATTCAAACTTGAGACAGGCACATGGGCCAGCCATTAGCATCAATAGCTCCCTCCCAGAAGCTGCAGGAAAGGAGACAAGGGCTTGGGTTGACCATCACCACCCATGGAGACTTTTGGGGACTGTACTGTTGGGGCCCTGCCACTTCGTTTGTTAATGCAGACCAGAACAGCTTTCTCTCAGCTAGGCACAGAAGACAGGTATGTGGCCGTCCACTAGCACAGACTGCTTCCTCCCAACATGGCACTGACTGAGACTTGGTGACTGCACTGCTGGGAGCCTGATGTGTTCCCTGTGCCTCTGTCTGCTAAGGCAAGAATATCTCCCTCCCAGCCAACTGCAGGAGAGGAGACAAGTTTGTGGGCTGGCAATCAGCACCAACAGCCTCCTCCCAACCAGGAACGGGAGGCAGGACAGGCGTGCTGGTCAGCCATTAAGATCAATAGCTCCCTTAAAATCAGCCACAGGAGAGAAGGCACCTTAGCTCCAAAGGAGATTTGGGGGCTGCACTGTTAGGATCTTGCCACGTTCCTGGGCCTTTTCTCTGAGTAAATTGCCCCAGGCACAACCCCTGGTATTTTATCTACCTCTGAGGAAAAAATGCATCCTCCCATCAAACTACAGGTCAGGACAGAGAAGCAGGCCTCCCATAGCTGGGCAAAGGGAGAGATGCCAACTCCCTGACCCTCAAAGGAAAATCAGGTGAGAAGCTTGCCACAGGAAATGGAGAACTGAACCACCCAAAGATATTCAGAGAGAGATGATCATTCACTGTGAAACTGAAACAGGGCAAAACTTAAGAGTTTGCAACTTATCAACACTATCATAAAGATAAGGAACTGTTAAAAACCTATGAAGTCACAACAGAAACTGCCTTAAACGTACCAAGAAGAACTTTTATGATAAGGAAACGTGGTAGATTCAAATATTGGGGGGGGGACCCATAAAACCCTTCTTTTTAAAAAGTAAGCCAGACTGCAAATCAAATGAATATCCTAGACACAGGGAAGCAAAAGAAATATACTGGCATGGAATTACATGAATTGCTACTGAAGAACTTAAAAATGATAGAATTGAAACCATAAATTAAGTAGTACAATAATCTTAAAAATCATCACAAGATAGAGGGTACAACCAACACAGCACCAAAAACAAACAAAGAAAACAACAACAAAAAAGAAATGGAAGAAAATGCTATCTAGAGTATAAAGACCAAAATGAAAGAATTTTTCAACATGCTAGAGGGACAAAAGGACAGAATAGAACAAAGAATCAACAAGTCAGCAGTGGGGGGGTAGGGGAGACTGAAGAAAGCATAAGCATTACAATCATGTGGGATGACATCAAAGGGAATAGCATACAAGAGATTGGAATTGTAGAACAGCGGTAGAGGAGGTCCAGAGAAAAGCGTAAAAGAGGTATTAGAAGGAAACGTCCCAGGTATCATGAAAAATGAGGATATCCACATTGAAGAAGTTCAGTGAACTCCAAATAGACCAGAATCCAAAAGAAAATATCAAAACATGTCATAGTCCAATGTTGTTAGGAGGGGGCTATTCCTTAGAAAGGAAGAGAGGAAGACACGCAGTGGCTGCAGCAATGGACTGAAGTATGTCAGAAATGATGAGGACGGCACAGGATAGGACAGGGTACTAGTCTGTTGTTCATACGGTCGCTAGGAGGCAGTCATACTTGAATCAATGGCACCTCACAACAACCGTGAGCACATCCAGGGCTGTATGTTTATTGAAACAAGTCAACTGACATTTTCTCACTTCTTGGGGCCTTATTTTTTGCCAATTCCATCAGTACAGCTCAAACTTTTTCCTTAACACAGGTTCTTGATATGTTACTTCCTGAAAGGGCTCAGTGTTGACCAATTTTTTTTTTAGGACAGTAACTCTGTATATTCCTTCCTTCTTTTTTTTGATGCTTCTTGCATCATTCAAGAATTTCCCACAGAATCCATAAGTGTGGCAATTCCTCGCTTGAATGTGTGTTTTAAGTTCTTTCTGCTTCAGTAATATTTAGCATTTTCTTCCTTTTCAATTTTCTAACTCTACCTCTTGGCACATTTCTTTATAATACTTTACTTTGTCCTCCTGAGTTGCCCTTTGAACCCCTCCTCCCAGGCATTTGGAATTGGAGAATTGGAGATTACCAGGAAGAGGAGCAATTGAAATAGTGCTTTGGGATCACTGGTATAAGTGCACAACAATCACATTAAATACAAAGAGGTAGGGAGGAAGAAGAAAGGGGTACAGTGCTTACAAATAGCCAGACAGTCTGAGATCAAGTCTCGGCCTTGATACTGTCTGCTTGCAAATCTTGAGCAAATGCCTAAAGTGGCATTTTCTCTGGATAAAGGAGACAGCTCTGGTAGCGTAGTCTATTAAGGACTTGTGCTACTAATACACTGGAGGCACCTCTTCGGTGGTTTGAATCCACCCATGACTCCACGAGAGAAAGATGGACAATCTTCTCTGCTGTGATTCTTAGCCTCCGAAAAACCCACTGGCGGATCAGCAAAAAGTTGGTTCTGACTTGCTGGCAATGAGTTGGATTGGAAAGGTAGTAGCATTCACATATTGGAAAGTCAGAGTTCATTTTTGAGCACTCTTAATTCCTTATTTCTTTGGGCTCTGTAGTGAGGGTCAGAGGTCCTGTTTTTCTGCTCTCAGTATTTGTTACTGAAGGGGTTGCTTTCTCTAAGGTCTTATTAGAAGTCACTGCGAACCTGCTCTGAAAGTATTGTGAATTTGAGGGCAATGGACTGAGAGGCATATAGTATAGTTGAGAAAGCACGGGCCATTAAAGCCAGATAAACAGAAGTCTCAACTCCAGCTCTGCCACTCAGAGAAATAATTTACTGTATTTCAGCAACCAAGTTCATTGCCACTCAGGTGATCCCACGTGATTCAAAGCAGAACAGCTTCAAAGGCTTTTCATGGCTGTTAACACTAACAGAAGCCAGTTTCTTCCATGGTATCAACTGGGTAAGTTTGAATCACCAACCTTGAGCTTTACAGACAAGAACGAAGTTTGTTGGAACTGCTGTTGTTACCGTTAGGTGCCACTGAGTTATTACAACTCACAGCAACCCTGTGAACAACAAATTGAAACCTTGTCCTATCAGGCACCATTGTCATAATCTCTGACATCCTAGAGCACACTGTTATTGACTCTTTATCTGACTCTCTACTTTTCCCAGAATGACCTCTTTTTGAAGGACTGACCCACCTGACAACAAATCCAAAATGTACATAAGACAAAGTTGCACTGTCTTTGCCTTTCAGAAGCACTCTGGTTACACTTCCCTCTAAAGCAGATTGGCTTCTTCTTTGTGCAGTCCACGGTGTATCTGCAATGTTCCTTACCAAAATCACAATTCAAAGGCATCAGTTCTTTGTTCTTCCTTATTCACTGTCCAACTTTCTGATACACAGGGAATAACTGAAAAGACCATGGCTTAGATCAGGTGCACCATATTTTCTCAACTGACACTCTTGCTCCTCAGCCCTTTGAAGAGCTCTTTGACAGCAGATTGTCTTTTCAATGAAACATGTCTTTTGCTGTCTTGAGTGCTGCTACCATGGATATTGGTTGTGGATCCAAGTAAAATTAAAGCATTCACGTCAAGCTTTTCTCCATCTATCAGGATGTTGCCTATCGCGTCAATGATCAGGACGTTTTGTTTTCTTGAATCCATATTGAAGGCTGCAGTCTTTAATCATTTCCAAAAAGCACTGCAAGTCTTTTCCACTTTGTGTCAGCAAAGTGTACCATCTGCAGAACACAGGCTGTTGATGAGGCTTCCTTCCAGCTGATGCCACATTCTTCTCCATATAGTTCAGTTTCTCAAATTATTTTGCCCAGGATATAGGTATGGAGAAAAGAAACAAGCTTGTTGCACATGTTCCTGATTTTAAATTATGCACTGTTTCTTTGTTCTGTTCTGACAACGGCTTCTTGGTCTATCAGTTCTCATTCTTCTCAATACTACCCATAATTTATTATGATCCACACAGCGAAATGCCTTCACATAGTCAATAAATCACAAGTAAGCATCTTTCGGTATTCTCTGGTTTCAGCCAAGATATGTCTGGTATTCCATCCAGGACCTCTTCTAAGTCCAGCTTGAATTTCTGTCAGTTCTCTGTCAATATCCATTCATTTAAAAAATTTCCAGCAGGAAGGCATTACACTGCTAACACAAAGCAGTTCGAATCCATCAGCTGGTCCCTGGGAGTGAGACAAGCAATCTCCTCCCATATGATTTGTTGTTGTTGCTAGGCTGTCAAGTCACCTGCAACTCATAGCAACCCTAAGTACAACAGCCCTAAACCCAACTCTATCCGGTGCCAATCTCAGTGTCTCTAACACACCTAACCCCATTACCCCAGTCACTGAATCAATCCATCTCATCAAGGGTCTTCCTCTCTTGCACTGTCCCTCCACCCTTCCAAGCATGACATCCCTCTCCAAGGACTGGTTGCACCTTGTAACATGTCCAAAGGATTTCAAATGGAGCTTCAGAATCCTTGCCTCCAAGGAGCAGCCTGGTTTAACCCAGTCTAGGATGAACCTGTTTGTTCTCCTAGCAATCCATAGCATACTCTTCTCCAGCACCACAGCTCAAAGGCATCAATTCTCCTTCTAGCTTCCCTAGTCATTGTCCAGCTGCCTTTGAAAATCTGCTGGAGGCTCAACCATGGGTTGGTTCTAACTCAATGGGATAAGACAACAACATATCATCAATTATTATCCTTCCCTCCAGCAACCAGGACCAGTGCCTGAAATTATTCTACTTGAACACTTTTTAAGATTTCATTCCATAACTGTGGAATCAATGAAAGAAGGTGTGAGGACTTCATAAAAAATTTAGCCCCATCACTAGCCAACAACTAAGTGTCAACAAACAATAGCTGATCCCAGAGCCAAAATGAAAGCTTGTAAAAGGGTTTTTGGTTTGTTTTTTTTTTTTCATGACTGGCAGCTGCACTGTCATTCTTGTGGCCAGGGACTATTTAGAATATTTAGAAGACTTCATGTCAGGTCTAAACTTTCTCTTTATTCATGTCATTAAAAAAATGTTTTCATTCCCTATTTTAAAAAGCAGATTTACTTTACCAAAATTTTGTTGAAGCGCTAAGCTTTCGTATTAGCTGCTCTAAAAGTTATTAGATATTGGGATCAGGTTTGTTGAGGGTCTTGGAATAAGAGAGAAGCCTTGATCCGGTTGTATTTTCATTTGGGTCTTCTTTTATCCCCCAGAGTCCAAACGGTTCAGAGCAGGGTGCACTGATAGCCTTTCCTGTCTGATTCTTCACGAACTACTTCAACCGGGCAAATCTGAAAAGGCTCCACAGTTGCTTTGTAACAATGTGTGTAATCACGTAGCATGAGATTTATATCTGTGAGAGAACTGAAGAACTGACTGCCTTCTGTTCACCTGCTTTAATGGCACTTTAAACTTTTTTCTCTTGATTGGAAAATAAAACACATCCATTGCAAACCAGAAAAGTTCAATGGAGGAAAAAACCCTACCATGCTAGAATATAAAATTTCTATATAGATCCTTGAACTCTTTCACCATGCTAGCCCCCTGGGGAAATGTAAGTGTGTATAAATACAAAATCCACCTCCTACTACACTTATTAGATAACTTCCTTTTAAAACTAATTCATAACTAAAACCAAAGCCAAACCCACTGGTGTCAGCTTAATTTCAATGCATAGTGATCCCTTGAGACAGAGTTGGGGCAATTCTGCCCCTCAGAATTCCCATGGCAGTCAAGAATTCCCAACAGAGGCAGACTGCTCTATCTTCCTCCTGCAAAGTAGCTGCTGGATGGGAAATAGTGAACTTTGGGTTAGCAGCCTGTTGCACCCCCAGGGCCACTAAATGAATTCACACATCTATTACTCTTTCATTCATTCAAGCAAATTAATTATACACCTTCTCGGTACCAAGGTGTACAAAAAATACTGAGAAGGTTTGACACACATATACAAAGAAAGTAAGACAATAAACTTAGATAAGTAAACTTAGATAAGTACTAACAAAGGTAGAAATAAAGTATTACAAGGTAACACGAGGGGAAACAAAAACAACACTCTAGTCCATAGAGACATCAGAGAAGTTCTATCGGTAAATGACACCTGAGCTGTTCCAATCAAGCAACATCAAAAGCCACCAAAGAAGAACCAGAGAAGGAACAAAAACCATTTCAGCAGAGGTGATAGCAGTAAGACTATCAAATAAGAAACTTTGGTGAAATCTTAAGGAATTAGTTATCAAAATAGGATAAAGGGTAAAAGATATTCTATGCAAAACGGCATGAGTAGAGCAACAAAGTGAGAAACACCCTTGAATATTTCAGGACCCAAGACAGTCCACTAATGCTAACACATTAAGTTCGAGGCAGAAAACAGACTGAATTTACATGGCTTGCAGGAGATGAGGGATCTCAAATACTAAAATCCAGTATTTTCATCTCTCCTTCCGGCTCCCTTCTCCCCTCCCACTTCTCCCCACCCCTCAGTCACCAATTTCTCATAGACCTAAAAATAAAGCTGATTACACTAGGTCTCTGAGGTTGTACACCTCACTCTCTGCGCTAAGCTTAAAATGACAAATTATTAAAAGTCTTACTTGTTGACAGAATTCATCATCTCTGGGAGTCAGATAAGGAAGCCATGTGTCCTCAAGTTCTTCAAGAAGTCTCCGTTTCTGTTTAAAAATAACATTTACAAATACTGAATAGAAAATAACCTACAACATAAGACAATAATATATTAGGAAACAAATATCAAAATTTAGCCAACTTGAATGCACACACTCAGATAAAAAATTAAAACATAAAATAAAAAGAATTCATATCAATTAAATATATTAGTTATATATTGTAAATTATGTATAAAACACTAACTTAGAAATAATTTTATTCACTACCATATTTCCCTAAACAATTTGATGTAAACGCTTCACATGTCTTTTGGCAGCAGAATCTTTTTCATCAAATGTCAAACTTTAAGTCATCTAATACAGTTTTCTGGAGCAAATCTCCCAGTCTATTAGTCTAAGACTTCTATGATACTATTGGGGGAGCTCTGGTGGCCTAGTGGCAAGAAGCTGTGAAACAGTCCCAAAAGCATGTGGTTCGAGGCCAAAAGCTGCTCCATGGGAGAAGGATGGGAATCTGCCTCCGAAAACCTGCTGGAGAGTCAGCTATGGGTCAGTTCCAACTTTACAGATAACAACAACAATTATACTACTAGTAGAAATAATCAAACCAAGCCACAAATATCCACTTGAATAGCATGAGGATATTTGGAATTTTTCTTCATCCTGTAAACACTCATTTGAGATCCCATAAACAGTTGCATGAAGTTTAAAGTAAATGACGGGGACTCTATATTATCATTTATAAGGACTTAGATACATTAAATCCTTCTTCCTAAGTTCTTTTTATTGAGGAATATCTGGCTTTATTTTCAAGCACTTATGAGGTGTGTATGCGTGTGAGAGAGAGTGAGCACTTATATACCATAAAAACTTGGTATGTGTCTGAATACAAATGTACACAGAGACATGTGCACAGTATAGAAATTACTTTTTAAGTATTTTTTTAAAAAAACAGAAAAAATAATTGATCTTCAAATAAATTAGTAAAATACTTCAGGCTTATTGCCAGGAAGATATTGTTATAAATTAGTACGCTTTCCCCTCCGTCTGGTTTCCCCCATCCATGGTTATGGCTTTGTGAGCACAAGCTGGACTTGAGCCTCTTACCTACCTCTTCTGTGGCCACTGCACACATATCATGTCCCAGACATGTGACCTCCCAAAAAAGCAGCCACCCCTCACAAGCCCATCATAACCAGAATAGCCCACAGAAACATCTTTTGGGCCAAATGTTGATACTTTCTGAACCTTTTATGCCATCATCCAAAGTGAATAAAGAGGAAAAGACAGAGAAATACAGGAAGGAATCTACTTGAAAAAATTAAAATAGCATGTTCTACCGGTAAGTATAATTCTTGTCGGTATATTTCATTAAAGCTTACTCCTTTGACCACAGGCGTTTTCTCATCTAAGTTTTGAAACTGGCTTGCCAGTTAAACTAAAAACAATTTCCTTTGCCAAGAATCTATTATATGAACATAAATCAAATACCATTAATTCAGTTAATTCATTTTATGTTAACTGACTTACCTGTTTTCAGTACTAACCATTATTTGGAAGGCAGAAAAAACTAGTAATATGGCTATATGTATACTTGCATATTTATACACTCCGTGACTAATGCAATCAAAAAGGAAATCAAAAGGTTAAATGCATTGGGAAAATCTGCTGTCATAGATCTCTCCGAGTGCTAAAAAGCAACAATGTCAGTCTAGATACAAAGGTGCACCTAATCCCGGCCATGGACTTCTTAATTACTTGTTATGCTTCCGAGAGTTGGACAATGACGAAGGATGACAGAAGAAGAATAAATGCCTTCGAGTTGTGGTGCTGGAGAACAGTCTTGAACATATCATGGACCGCCAAGAAAACAAATAGGTCTGTCTTGGAGAGGGTGAAGCCAAGCCTCTCAATTGGAGGCTTGGATTTTGAAGCTCTGCCTCATTTACTTTGGGCACATGGCCAGGAGAGACTGGTCCTTGGAGAAGGACATCATGCTCGGAAGGGTGGACGGACAGCGCAGGAGACGGAAACTTCAGATAAAATGGATTGACACAGTGACTGAGGCAATGGGGGTTGGTGTGTCAGAGTTAGTGAGACTGGCTCAGGACAGAGAGGGGTTCAGAGTTGCTGTACATAGGGTCGTTATACATCACAGGTCACTCAATGACACATAACAACAATAATATACTATTACAGGTTTGGATGCAGGAGTGGCATCCACTTCCTAAACAACCTACCTCCAGAAACTCTATGAACTTTGAGAAATGTCGATAGTTGTAGAGGGGCTTCAGACCTTTTGTTCATAGGGTTGCTATGAGTCATGCTCAACTCGAAGGCAATGAACAACAACAACAACAATGTAATCATGATCTATACTTCTAGTTCAAGCCTACCTTTACATCTTCTTAGTCATCATTATAGATACAAATCCCCAGAAAAATTGTAAATGCAAACAAATTATTTTAATGTCATTCTTAAAACAAGGAACTCTTTTCATAAAGAGTTCTTGAAAAAAAGTTTTGCAAAAAAGCACTTCTAATCATCTAAATTTAGGCATAAAGCATAAGACAGTGATGCATTGTGTATCCTGAAAGGATAAAACTCTCTAAGAATGGTCTGCTGCAGGGTAAGCAGAACAGAAATGGTCTTCCTTAACTGAAAACTCAATTTTAAAATTGTAAACAGCATTGCATCCATTTAACAGGAGAAAAAGGACATTAAAGAGAGTACCAAACTTAAGACCACAAACCTGATACTTGATCTGTACATCAACATTCACTGCTTGCAAAGGACTAATTAACTGAAGAGATCAATTACAAACAATAATAGTTATTAAGACGTTTTGGTCATGTTTACCTTGGTGAAGCCAAGCAAGAGTAAGTGTTCAATTAAAATTGCTTGACAACAGACAAAGTTACTCTCAGCAAAACTGGAGAAACAGGCTCTCTCCTATTTTACTGCCAAGAGTACGCAGCAGTACAACACTTATAAAGGGAAACTGCAGTTATTATCAAAATCCAAATGCACTTTCCTATAACCCAGCAATCGTACTCCTGATGCTTTATCCTACAGACACAACTTGCATAATCTATGCACAAGGTTACTTCACTATTTGTAAAAGAAAAGCTTGGCAACATAAGGAAAAAATTGAATTGAACACTTTTAAGGGGTAGATTTTTATGTATCTGAAGTACAGAATTAATAAATGGAAGTAACACTTGTCCATCCATAGGGGACAGTTAAATAATCTATGTTACAGTCATATAACGAAATATGATTCAACAGTAGACAAGAAGAAGGTGGTTCTCTTTAAGTAAAATAAAACGTTCTCCAAGATATATTGCAAGTGAAAAAAATTAAGGTTAATAAAAAGAGAAAATAAAATAGATAGTCATAGTTACTTGTGTTAAAATAGTTCATTGTCAACAGAGTTGGAAAGAGAATAGGAATCATAGAAAGGAGCAGAATCATTTAAAATATTCCAATATATGGTGTTTGATTTTTTAATTACATATAGTAGAAAATTTTAACTTTTTTTTTCCCTAAAGACAGTAAGCAAAACAGATTTGCCAAAAAAAACCAAAACCACAGTCAAGGCTATTAATTCCTTATTTTACATAGTTTTAGATTCTGATTATGCAAACATAAGATCTATTAATAATTTCTAACTTTTTACAAAAAGAACGTAAGATAAATAGGTGATTTTTAAGGCAAAGTCAAAGTTATTAATCCTTAGTTCAGTATAAAGTTGGACATTAAATAACTTCTGGTTTTGGTTTGAAAAATGAACACTTTTGTTCATTCACAATGAAGCATTTATTTGGGAGACTCTCACAGACTAGTACATTATAAAGAGGGTAAAAACAGCTCTGACAGTTTCTTTCTCTGTATCAAATGCCAACCCGTTGGTAAACACACACAACATTAAAATGCACTCTGGAGCGGAGGCGGAAGGAAGGAGCTTGTGTTTGATTGTCAGATCTGGCTAACTGCTGCTCCTCGGCCTGATGTACAGATAAATCCACACAGTTGGGCCCTGCAGCACACTGCTCTGCTCACAGGCTCCTCTGCCATCACACTCATGTCAAATACATCAAGCTACTCACAAATACCAGAGACAGCTGGGAGAGCTCAAAACCTCAGCTCTTCACCTGGCAGAAAGAGCATGTGAAGACCCTTTGAGCCAGGCTGCTTCTGCTTCCACAACTGGTAGCAAGGAAGCAGGTATGCAAGACCCTCCTCTCTTCCGTTCCCTTGGGTTCAAACCCTAAGTTTAAAAGTGGATGTCAGAAACTTGACTCTAACCCTACATCTTGGCATCACCATAAAAAGTTACACTGTATCTATATCCTGTCAACTAGACATAGGTCAATGATGATGTAAAGATGTATCTTACCTACAAATGACATTTTGTATTTTCCACCCACTCCTGACTCCAGGATCTGCAGCCTGCCATTATTCTTTATCTATCGCTCTGTCATTTTCTACATAGTACTTTCTAGAGTAACCATCATACTTTTTCAGGTTCAATAAAACTTAACTTGGTTATGTGAATCTTTTCAAAATACAGCCACAAAGGATAATGACTTTTCAATGTAAACATAACCATGTGATCTTGTGAAGACTTCCTATCATGAGTGGGGAAATGGACACAGTCCTTTAGCAAGGCCTGGTGAGTAATAAGACCTCCTGAAGGAATATATAAATACTTCACACATACATATACCATGTTTCCTTTAACAAAAAGGGGTAGAAAACCCCTCAGCTATTTCAATAAACTCATGATTTCCTTTTCAATTCTCAACGGAAAAAAATGATATGGTAGAAAGAAATATAAAGTCAACACAAGAAAAAGAAACAACAGGATAAGGAGAAAAGCAAAAGCTCTTGTGAACTGCTGCTGGAAATGTAAAAATAGTGCAGCCAGTAGGGAAAATAATTTGGCACTTCTCAGAGAGTTAAACAAAGAGTTATCACAAGACCCAAGCAGTTCCTTTCCTAGGTATATACCTGAACTAAACTCAAAAGAAATCCATTGCCATCAGCTGGCTCCAACGTCACAGCAGCAATGCAGCAGTTTTCTGAGACTGAACTTCTCTACAGGAAGAGACTGTCCGGCTTTCTCCCACGGCGCACCTGCTGGCTTCAAACTATCTGGTGTGTTAGGAATTATCTCAGGTTTGGCCACAATTCACCATCCCACGTGTTTCTTTATCCTATGTTTGATTCCAATTCTTTTTCCAGTCAGTATCTGGACTAATTCTTTGTCATCTCTTTTGAAGCTCGGGATTCTAGGATTCACATCCCTATCTGTTGCTGTCCTTGTTTTCTGGTGTCCTTGTGGTACAGGGTTACCTTCTGCCTAGTTGATCATCTTGCTAAAAAGTTACTTAACCTATTTTTAAATGTGTTTATATGTGTGATACATTGAATTCCAATGTCGTGTGTGTTACGTGTGTGTACATACACACATTTTAATCTTTTATCATCACCACTAGTGAGCCTAAAAATGTTAAGAATTACATTCCACTTCCACAGTTCCTTCTCTCACATCTCATTAGCACTTAATGACTGTATTTATCTTTATCTATGCTAACTCTTTCAATCCTTACAAAAAATTAAGACACTGACACACATGAAGTTACATTTTACAGAAGTG